AATAACTACCACCAGCTGCCCAGCCACTCAACCAGGACTACCTAAGTTGACAGAAAAACATAACCACTACAATATCCTTCTCCAGGGAATGGTCCCTTCTGACAACATGACTGAAGCAGGTGAGACGAAGTCTGGCCCTTCTCACTTCCAAGGTGCATTCTGGCTGCACTTCTCCCAGGACAGATTTGTTCATTCTTCTGGAAGTCCATGGTACTCTGAGTATTCTTCGTCAACACCACAATGCAAAAGCATCAACTCTTCTTTGGTCTTCCTTATTTATAGTCAAGCTTTCACATGCATATGAGGCTGTTGAAAATGCTTTGGCTTGGGTTAGGCACACTTTCATCTTCAAAGAGACATCTTTGTTCTTCATCACTTTAAAGACTTCTTTTGCAGCAGATTGGCCCAATGCAATACTTAACTGATTTCTTGACTGCTGCTTCCATTGGTGTTGATTGTGGAAGCAAGTAATATGAAATCACTGACAATTTCAATCTTTTCTCCATTTATTGTGATGCTGCATATTGGTCCATTTGTAAGGATTTTTGTTTTCTTTATGTTGAAGTGTAATCCATACTGCAGACTGTAGTCTTTAATCTAATGCTTCAAGTAATCTTCACTTTCAGCAAGCAAGATTGTGTGATCTGCATATCACAGGTTGTTAATGAGTCTTCCTCCAATCCTGATGCCACACTCTTCTTCATATAGTCCAGCTTGTTAAATTATTTGCTCAGCATACAGATTGAATAGGTATGGTGAAAGGATACAACCCTGATGTACTACTTTCCTGATTTTAGATCATGCAGTGTCCCCTCATTCTGTTCAACAGACAGCCTATTGGTCTATGTACAGGTCCTAAGGAGCACAATGAAGTGTTCTGGAATTCCCATTCTTCTCAATGTTATCAATAATTTGTTATGATTCACACAATCAAATGATTTTTCATAGTCAATAAAACACAAGTAAATATCTTTCTGGTATTCTGTTTTCAGCCAAGATCCATCTGACATCAGTTATGATATCCCTCGTTCCAAGTCCTCTTCTGAATCCTGCTTCAATTTCTGGCAGTTACTTGTCAATATACAGCTGTAATAATTTTTGAATTATCTTCAGCAAA